GAGTCACGGGTGTTGCTGTCTGCTGCGAGAGCTGCGACATGTTCGCCCTTCTCCCCCAGGAGAGGCAGGGATACACTTGCCCTCCGTGCAAGATGGTGACCCTGCTAGAAGAGGAGGTGAGGTGCCTGAGGGCCGAGAGAGCTCTCCAGGCCCCCCCGGAGCAGCCCCCCTCTGGACAGAGGGTTGAGGGAGAGGCCACAGGAGGAGCAGCTGCGGAGACATGGAGGTATGTCACCCACAGGAGGAGGAGGCCAGCACGGCCTCCTCCTTCTCCTGGCACCGATCTGGAGCTGGGAAACAGGTTCTCTCCACTTGGGAAGGCTGGGGCTGATGAGGCCTCGGGGGACCAGCAGGACCCCCAGCCTGAGACATCAGGTGGCAAGGGGGCCGCTGCGGGAGAGGTGAGGGCCAGGGCACGGCCACCCACCAGCACTGGGAAGGTACAGTGGCGGGTGATTGTTGTTGGGGGCTCCCTGCTGAGGGGCACTGAGGTGGCAGTGTGCTGCCCCAACCTGGAGACAAGGGAGGTTTGCTGCCTGCTGGGCGCACGCATCCGGCATGTGAAGGACAGAGTGGAGCGTCTTGTTCGCTCCGGGGGTCACCAGCCGCTCCTGGTGATCCATGTGGGCACAAACGATGTGGCCAGGCAGGGTGTGATTGGGACCACCAGGGACTTTGAGGCCTTGGGGAAGAAACTCAGGGAGCTGAAGGCCCAAGTGGCCTTCTCGTCAATCTTACCTGTCCGGGGATTTGGGCCAAGAAGGGACAGGAGGGCCTCCGAGGTGAATGACTGGCTTAGGGTGTGGTGCCAGAAGGAACGCTTCGGGTTCCTCGACCATGGCACTCGGTTTCTTGCCAATGGACTTCTGGCAAGGGACGGGTTACACCTCACGAGGATGGGGAAAAGGTCCTTTGGAGATGCTCTAGCGAGCTTCGTCCAGAAGACTTCAAAATGAGCCGGGGGGGGGGGGTCAGGCTCCCCAGTAACGTGTCTGCACTGGACAAGTGTGGGGGGAGGATCATGGGTCTGGGAGCAGGGTTTTAGAGGTACTGCAGAGACTGACAGGACTCCTACAGAGAGGGGCCAGGTATCAGGGAGGATGGGAGGAAGGAGAAGGCTGGGAACTCCAAGGAAAGGAAGTGGTGGGAAGGAGTTGAGGTGCATGTACACCAATGCTAGGAGCATGGGTAATGAGCAGGAAGAGCTTGAAGCTCTCCTGGGAATAGGAGGGTATGACCTGGTGGGAATCACAGAAACTTGGTGGAGTGAAAGGCAAGTCTGGAATGTGAACATAGAAGGGTATCACCTTTTGAGAAAGGCCAGGAAGGGAAAGAGAGGTGGGGGCGTGGCTTTATACGTCAGGAAAGGGATAGGATGCAGTGAGACAGAATGCAGCGCAGATGGGGATTCAGTAGAGGCAGTCTGGGTGAAACTTAGGGGTTTTGACAGGGAAAGAGACCTGTCAGTGGTGGTATGTTATCGCCCTCCAGGTCAACTTGAGACCCTGGATGATGTCCTGACAGGCCAGATTCTAAGGATATCTCGGGGGAGAGACACAGTAATTACGGGAGATTTCAGTCTCCCGGATATTACTTGGGAGACTCAATCGGCGGTGACAGCCAGGTCACGTCACTTCCTAGAAGCTATAGAGGGAGGGTTTTTCACACAGAGGGTCCGAGAGGCGATGAGGGAGGGAAACATCCTTGACTTGATCTTGACCAATAGCGAGGAGCTGATAGATGAAGTGCAGATTAGGGGAGCTCTGGATGTGAGTGATCACTCCATCCTTTGCTTTGAGATCAGGGGACTGGGGACGTGCAGCAGGTCGAGCACTAGAAGCTGGGACTTCAAGAGGGCCAACTTTGGCCAACTGAAGGCCAGACTGGGGAAAGTCTCCTGGGATAGGTTACTGGAAGGTAAGCGAGTTGAGGAGGGGTGGCTAGCACTCAAAAGGGAGGTTTTGGAGGCGCAAGCCTTGACGATACCTCTAGTCAGTAAGGTGGGGAGGCGGAGGAGAATACCACCATGGATGCAAAAGGAGGTGGTTAGAGGGATTAGACAAAAGAGGAACATCTGTAGGAAATGGGTACTGGGGGAAATAGACAAAAGGGTATACCAGGAGGAGGAAGCCCATTGCAGAAGGATTCTTCATAAGGCTAAGGCTGATTACGAGCTGAGACTTGCCAAGAATACCAAGAGCAACAAAAAGGGCTTCTTCCAGCATGTAAATAGGAAGAGGAAGGGGAGACAAGTGGTGGGACCACTAAATAAGGAGGAAGGAGATCCAGTGACTGATATGAGGGAACAGGCACAGATGCTAAATGACTATTTTGCCTCTGTGTTCTCCCCAAAGCAGGACGGGGGATATCCGCATAGGAGATTAGATGAGGCTGGGGACTTAGGGGCACAGATTAGAGTCACCCCCCTTGAAGTCGAGGGGCTCCTCAGGGCATTGGACATTACAAAGGCACCAGGCCCTGTGGGGTTACACCCAAGAGTACTTAGAGAGTTGGCAGGGGTTCTCTTACGCACGCTGGCCTCCGTTTTTGAGACCTCGTGGAAAACGGGTGAAGTTCCAGAGGACTGGAGGGTGGCATCAGTGGTCCCAATTTTCAAAAAGGGTAGTAGACGGGACATGGGGAATTATAGACCAGTTAGCCTTACGTCCATTGTAGGAAAAACAATGGAAAGGCTCATAATAGAGATCTAGTGATGCTAGATAGGAAAGGGAGGCTGGTGGCCACACAACACGGCTTCCGGAAAAACAGGTCCTGCCAGACAAATCTTGTGGAATTCTATGACAAGGTTTCGAGATGGCTAGATGGAGGGGATGCAGTGGATGTGGTATACCTGGATTTCAGCAAGGCCTTTGACAAAGTGCCCCATGATATCCTGGTGGAGAAACTGAGGAGTTTTGGGATACACCAAAGCACTGTCCGGTGGATTAGGGCATGGTTGACTGACCGAAAGCAGAAGGTAACCATTAGCGAGGAATCATCGGGATGGCGACCAGTGACAAGCAGGGTCCCCCAGGGCTCTGTCCTGGGGCCGATCCTGTTTAATCTTTTCATTAACGACATGGAAGAAGGGGTGAACAGTCTGCTGATCAAATTCGCAGACGACACTCAAACTGGAGCAGTGGCCACAACAGAGGAGCATGTACTCCCGATCCAAAAGGATCTGGACAGACTGTGGAAGTGGGCAGGAGACAACAGGATGGGTGTTCAATGTGGATAAGTGCAAGGTCTTGCACTTGGGGCATAGGAATAGCTGTCATAAGTACAGGTTAGGTGACAAGTGGCTGGAGAGCAGCACTTGTGAAAGGGACCTCGGGATGCTGGTTGACTGCAGGCTAAACATGAGTCAGTAGTGTGATGCGGTGGTCAAGAGGGCGAACGCCACCCTTGGTTGCATAGCCAGAAGTGTGGCTTCTAGATCAAGAGAGGTATTACTACCACTCTACACGACTCTGGTGCGCCCGCAATTGGAGTATTGTGTTCAGTTTTGGGCCCCTCATTACAGAAAGGATATAGCCAGGTTGGAGTCAGTGCAACGTAGGGCCACAAGGTTGGTGACCGGTTTTCAGGAGATGCCATATGAGGCAAGACTGAGGGAACTGGGTCTCTTCAGCCTGTAGAAGAGGAGACTCAGAGGGGACATGTTGGCGACATACAGGTATGTGAGGGGATGTCACATGGAGACCTGTTCTCCCCTGCAGAGAAAGGCAGGGCACACTCCAACGGAGCCAAGCTCAGGGAGCCAAGGTTCCATTTGGATGCCAGGAAGCACTTCCTGACAGTCGGGACCCCGAGGGTGTGGAATGGGCTTCCACGAGAGGTCATTGAGGCCCCATCGGTGTGGGTGTTCAAGGATAGGCTGGACGTGCCCATGGTGGGCATGTCGTGAGCGGAGCTGGCTGGTGCTGGAGGTCAGATTGGATGGCCCGGGAGGCCCCTTCTGGCTCGCTCTGTTTCTGTGTTTCTATCTGTGGGCCATATGGTGTGCCAGACTCCAAGCCCCAAGACTGGATACATGGCTCTGGCCTTGGAAGTAGTTCTAGTACCTGGCAGCCAGTGTGGACAGAGTGGTGCAGGCTGCCTTCTGGGGTTGGCAAAGCAACCTCGGAGTGAGGAAGGGGAGTGCTTTGGTGGACAGGGAGGGGAGGACAAGCCAGGGCAGGAGCTACTCTGAAGTCTCTCCATCCTCTTTCCTGCCCCTCCGAAGCACGACAGCTAGACAGGCAAAGAAGCCAATCAAACATGCAGAATGCGCATGGGTGGAATGCACTCCCCGGAGAGGTTCACCTGGCGTTGAGTTTATATCCTTTTTGGCGCCAGGTTAAAAGCTTTTTATTTAATTGTTATTTTAAAAACTAATTTCAATTTTAATGTTTAACAGTTGCTTTTATTTAACTTATTTAATTTATAGTTTTGGTTAATTGTTCTTTATTATGTTAAGATTGCTGTTTTGTTGTGGTTGTTTTAATGATTATAAGCCGTCCTGAGATGCCATGCATAAGGGACAGCATACAAAAGGTTTAAACACACAAACAACCAAACAATGCCAAGCAGGGGTACAGGGAGGCACAGATCTTTTCTGCTCCTCCTCCTCTTGCTTTCTGCTTGATGAACACACACCCCTCCCATTGGTTGATACAGTATCAGAAAAGAAGACTCTAATATTACATAATACCTGCGTGCATTTTTTTTCCAAAGCACGCTCGCATTTGGATGTGATTGCGCAGCTGGGCTTCAGTGCTTCTCTGCTGGAAAGGAGCCACCACAGAAAAGGCCCTTTTCACTTCCCAGTTAGGTGGGAAGAGAGCCGAGCCAGTTCTGATTCCCACAAGCAGCGCATGTGTGTCCACAAGTCACTTCATAAAGAAGAAGGGGGCCTTCAGTGCCTGCAGGGACCTGCATGGATGGAAGGCACTGAGGAACGACTCTGCAGCAGGCTGCAAGGGAGAAGAGCCACGCTTGTACTTCCGTATGTTTTGCAGCAGAGAGCAGCCAGAGCAGTGGGCAGTTCCAGGGGAGGCCTTCAGAGGTGTGGTCCCAGTGGCAAAGCCAGCACCATAACCAGCAGAACAGCGAGCAGCACCCTCACCAGCAAACGAGCCAGACAGAAGTGTTCCAGGTGAGTGGAGCCGTAAGCACTGCTGTTGCAGGAGTGATGCTTCAGCAAAGCCACACCACCTCCCCACCCGGAGGGCCCCAGAAGGGAACAAGATTTGACTGTCCCTTTTCATAACTGGACCACTGTTGCATTTCATAGAACCATAGAACAGTAGAGTTGGAAGGGGTCCATAAGGCCATCCAGTCCAGCCCCTGGCACAGTGCAGGACTCCAGGCTAACGCATCCTGACAGATGGCTGCCTCTTGGATGCCTCCAGCATGGGAGAGGCTACAACCTCCCTAGGTAATCTGTTCCATTGCCACACTGCTTTAACCGCCAGGAAGTTTTTCCTGATGTCTGGTTGAAATCTGGCTTCCTGTAACTTGAGCCCATTATTCTGTGTGCTGCACTCTAGAATGTACAAGTCTAATTTTTTGGAGTGAAGTGGTTAAACAGCCATCCTTCACGGGACAGCTTTGCTCATCCCTGTGCGTTGTTGGGTGCAGAGCTGTTAAGCATGACCAAAGCAACCCGCCCCCCACAGGGGAGGCCGAGCTCAGTGGCAGACCGTGTGCTTTGCATCCAGAATGCCAGAGGTTCAATCCCCAGGATTGCCTGTAAGGAAAGCTATTGATTTTGTTTTCAAGGTATTGTTTTATTCTTTTGCTTGTTTCATCTTCCATATAGCCTGAAGGGTCTGATCCTGCCTAATCTTAGAAACCAAGCAGGGTCAGACTTGATTAGAATCTGAATAGGAAACATGAATCCTGCATTGAGCAGGGAGCTGGACCCAAAGACCTCCTAGGCCCATTCCAGCTGTATGATTCTAGCTATCTTTTACCGTTCACTTCCTCAATATTTCTATACTAGCATATGGGAGAGCATATAAATCTTGAAATGAAATAAAATAAAATAGGCATGACTCAGTATAATTCAGCCACAGTATTCCTAGACTATTGTGGTAACTCTAAAGGGCAGCGTATTTCTTTCCTCTGCTTGATTGTGGTATTTTTATAGCAGTGGGAACAGAAGATCTGGACTTGTCTTTCGTCACAACCATGTTAAATGACTGTGCTGTATTCAGGGCTGCCTTTAAAGTTGATATGGAAACATCAGCTGATTTTGAATAAGGCAGCCAAGCTGGAAGCAGGAATTTGTCATCATCAACACATTCTGCCCATGTCAAAAATCCGTGCTGCCTTTTTCTGGGCACATTTCGTCCATGATCAGAGCCAAGCCAAAGTTCAACAGGATGAACACTTGGCTAAGAACAGGACTGAGTACGCAGATGTGGAGGACAGAGGCGGGGTGGGATGGCCAGTCAGGACAATCGCCAGTGAACAGCTTCCAGGACATTTCCCCCTCCCCCAGCCCTCAAATTAGCCGCTTTGGCCATTCAATGCTACAGAAATGTGATTGATTGATTCATGACTAAATTAATTGATACAAATACACTTGCCAGGGTAGAAAATGGACAGGACCAAAGCCATGCTCCCGCTGGTGAAACAAGGCAGATCAGTCTGGCCCAATTTCAGTGGTGGATCTCCGTTGTGCTCGGGGTGCGAAGAGGAGTTGTAGGGAGAGAGCAGAATAAAATCCGAGGAACTTGCCAGCCTGGCTGCAGCTTAGGGAAGGGTCTTGCAAAGCACCTTCTATGGGGACTCTCCTGCCTTGGCAGGGTATGCCTTCTACCCCATCCAGCCATGGGTTTGGCTGGCACTGGCAAGTGACTTTGAAACACCATTTTAAATTTCCCAGAGATGTGGCCATGTTGGTTGCTACAAAGCATTCTGGGAAAATGTTAAAAGGGCAGATCATAGCTGCCTGGCTTTGTGCGGGAAGGGGAAGGGAGGGCATGTATGAACTGGGCTGCTAAAGCTGCCGCTGCTGCCTGAGGGTGCCTCTTCTTGTGCACGATTCCAGGTTTTGCATGCAGTGTGCATACTTAAAGTGCAACCTCTTTCTCTCTCTCCCAGTCTGTTCTGCTGTCCTTGCAATTAGTGCTCCACACTTAAGGAAGAAGGGCAGCTCTGCTTTACAGGAATAGCAGGAAAAACAGGTTACATCCAAGAGGAGCATACAAGAAAAGCCATGTTTACCTTCCCCTTTTTTTTGTTTAATCTTGCAGGATATGCTACCCATTCCGGGGGATCCAACACAGGGAACTGGCAATTACAACATTGAAGATTTTGCTGATTTGGGCATGTTCCCCCCATTTTCTGAGTAAATTTATCTAGCTAGATAACCTTGAAAATAATGTTTCTGGAAGGGGAAAATACCAGTGTAGTTGGGCTTTGCTTTTTCTGTGTAACTTTATCATAGAAGCTATTATACACGAAGCCTCCATTCACATATTTCTGAAAATGACTTGCTCTCCGTCCAAATGTTGACCATGCAAGTTCTAATGAATTAAGGAACACCAACTGGCCGGTGTTCTTGTAGGCACTCATTTTTGTATTACATTCCCATTTTGCTGTAGAGGTCGTGGGGCGGGAGGGAAGGAGGCACTTTGACTGTGAACTTGCTCTGAGCATTTAACGTTTGAATGTGAACCATTTCTAACTTTCCCTTATAAAGTTGTTTGTGTAAATAGGTGATGAAAACTAACAGGCACTCCAGTCCTTTGCCTACTACTTGAAAAATAAAATCCTCTCGATTTCAGTGGGACTTAGCCGAGGGTGGCTTAGGAAGTAATCCTATGCATATGTGGGCAGAAAGAAGTCCAGCAACTCCCAGCATTCGCCAGCCAGCACGGGGACTTCATTCCTGTCTGAACATGCATAGGATGGCACCTTTAGTGGGTTAAGTCTGGCGGCCTGTTGCATCTCCAGCCTAAGGAATTTTAGTTAGCAAGGCTGGGAAACAGATCGCTGGCCTAGGAGAGATGCTGTCAGTCAGAGAGGACTAGTCTGATCTCAACGGATTGAGGAAGGTTTATTGCATTCATGTATATCAGGGGTGTTGAATTTCTGCCTCCCTGGAGTTCCAGTTTGGCCTCCAAGGATTCCTAGAACACCAGCCTCCTTCACCTGGTCACACCTCTACTTCCTCCATCCATACCCTGTTTCCACCAGTAGTTTGGTGGTGCCTGATTTTTGTGCAATTTTCCCTCCATTCTAAAAGGTTAAAACCGCCTCTCTTAATTACTGGCAGGAAGAACTTTAGAAATGCTGAATTTTAGGGTGCTCACTCCCTTTGCCTTTGGCCCCCTGGAATGCACCCCCAAGAGGTTCTCCATAAGTAAATTCAGCCTCCAGTCTGAAAGAGATTCAGCACCTCTGATACCTGCTTTCATTTCAGCATGATGCTCTGGGTGTGTGAAGCAAGTAGATTTCAGCTTGGCCCATGAACTGCTTCAGATGGGAGGCTCCCTGGGACTGTGAACCTGTCTAGTTTCTGTATGCTGAATCTTGTGAGAGCCAAGCCAAGGAGCAGCGAGTGTCCGTCCCAGATTACAGAAACGATGCCCTGCTCCATCCTGGATTGGATCATCCCTGCTAGGTGGCAGCACATGCAAGGGGATGCAGCTTGGCAGCAGCTGAAGCAGGGCAGGGTCAGAACTACATGCATCTCTGACTCACGGGCTGCAGGCTCCAGTTCAGCATCATGGGGAGCCATCTTGCAGCCAGGTAAGACCAGTTACTCCTGCACTGGCTGAGGAGGCAGGCCAGGAGAGTCCTCTGGGGAGCTCCACCTCTGCACATCTGACTTGTTTTCTTAAAGGCCTGGAGTCCTTTGCTGCCCTTGCAGGCTTCTTCTAGGTAGTGAGGATCTGGGCGGTGAAGCGCTAGTTGGGAGATGCTCTCCAGAGCACCTCTGCTCCCCAGAACAGGTGAGATCTGCTGCTTGTAGGCAGAAAGCCAGGGTGCCTGGTGGAGATCAGGGGGATGGGGGCAGGATCCAAGGTGGGTGGCCCCACTTGTGAGGGTGTAGGAACTGGGCCAGACTCTTCCTGCCAGTCGGGGCACTTGGAAACCTCTCAGTTGTGGGGTTGGTCCTGGGCCTTGGCAGGCTTCATCCTAGAACGGCATGGTCAGCTTCGGACTTTTGGGAAATACCTCTGTTCTCCAGTGGCATTTTGCCACAAGACCTGATCCTGTCATGATTGTCTAGGTTTCAAGCTATGGACAACCATTTCTGAGAGCTAACTTAACTCTTTGCAGTGCCACTTGGAAGGCCAGGTAAAATTTCACTGCACTCCGGGCCATGAGCAACGGGCTGGCTCTCTCAGGGCTTAGCAGCTCTCACTCTTTTGACCCTTGAGCATGAGGCATTGTGGAGGAGTGTGGAAGAGGTGTGACCGGTCACTCCTGGAGCTGACATTCTTGCTGGTGCTGACAGAAGCAGATGGCACATTGCTCCAGAGGCCCACCAGGTCACTGTGCTGTGACAGGTCCACAAAGACTGGCTCATGTAGCGAATTCCACTCAGTCGAGCCATTCTTCGCTGAAATGATGGTGAGAATCCGCACTTCAATGGGATGCACTTCTGGGAAAAGACATTGTAGGTTGGGAGGGCTTGATCTTTAGGGAAAGGTTCTCCATGTGGCCAGTATTCTTTGAGAACGGGCAAGAGACCGCATAGCTCACCTGCTTCCCATGGAGAAGGAGCCTGTAGGTGCCTGCTGGGGGCCTGAAATCTTGAGAGGTTCCACCCTTGCTCACTGCTCCCCTTTCCATGCCTCATTATCCAGCTTCAAAATGTACTTTTTGTGGTCATTTTAGGCCAGTTTGAATGTAAAGTATGTAACTATGACTTAGTCCTTTCTGATACAAAAAAGGCTCTAAGGCCTTCAAGTCTCATTTTAACTCAGCTAAACTTGAATGTGTGTACACTTTAGTACTGTCTGTATATCTGGTGTTGTATGAAGTGAATTCCTGGGTGTGAGTGTGGATGTGTGCACAAGAGCATGTGCTTGGTTTTTCTTTTGCCATGTAGAAATGAAGTCCACAAGAAGGGAAGGTGTACCTGGGAAAGAAAGCAATATTGCAGAGAGCTTACGAACCCAAGCCGACGGGACAGTTCACACTTTTTACCTGCATGCAAACATCATTCCACAAGACCAGTGAGCCATGGGCATTATCTGTGAGCAGTTCCGACACTTAGATCTGGGCCATGGGCTCGTCCATTCCCTTTCTGAGGGGAAAGAATAGCTCCAGCTGAGCTACAGTGTGCATCCCCCTGTGCTCACTGCTCACATCATGCTTGTCCCTCGCATGCTTAGCAACCCTGAACCAGCCTGATGCCTTGCTCCAGTCCACACATTTCAGGGCTTCACCACAGGACCTCTACTGCGGGCTGATAGCATGAGTAACAAAAGATTACTTGTTTAGCAGCCTTCCCCAACATGATGCCTCGCACGATGGGAGTTGGAGTCCGAAGCATTTGCCTGAATGTCACCCTGTGTAGAAATGTCTATGCATATAACAAACATTGGAATGCTGGGCAGAACAGAGAAACAGCGAGTCAGAAGGGGTCTCCCGGGCCATCTAGTCTGACCTCCGGCTCTAGCCGGCTCTGTTCATGGCATGCCTACCATGTGCCTGTCCAGCCTTTCTTTAAACAACCTCACCGATGGGGCTTCAACCACCTCCCATTCTTAGCCTTGCTTTCCTTCTGCCGTGCTTCTTGTTTTAGTCCTTGGGCTTCATCCACCAATGCACCTTGATCCATGCTGTCAAAGATGATGTACTGTTTTTCAAAGACAATACTAAAATACGGATGCAGAATACAAGTGCTTGTCCTCGTCGCTGCAAAGTTGCATCTTGTTTCCGCATGGCAGAGTAGAGGAGGACAAAAGAATATCCTTGCTAGATCAGACCAAACGTCCATACAGTTCAGAATCCTTTTTCTAGCTGTAACCAGCCAGATGCTTCTGGGCAGCCTACAGGCAAGGCAAAGACACCCCTAGCCTCTAGTATTTAGAAATAGAATATCCCTGAGCATGGAGGTTTACTTAGCTATCATTGTTGATGGTCAACTGGTAGATCTGTCCTCCATTAATCTGCCAGATCCCTTTTCAAAGCCAGCTAAACTGTAGCAAACATCTCCACATCTTGTAGTTGTGATTCTGTCTGTTAATAGAACATTAACAATAACACTTCTGCGCAAAGCAGCTTCAGACTCTGTATTATCTTGGAGGTGACTCATGTCCATAACATTGCTTAGTAAAGTAAAAAGGGGGAGAATGTTTTGTTTAAATAATTTCAGCAGCAACAAAAATCTACATACAACTTTGCCATAACAGCTGCAGACTGTTGGCTTCCAGAAAGAGGCAAGTTCTAATTCGATGCTAGCTTATCTCAGTGCCTCCCGTCATGCACAAAGTTAAGATGCTGCTACTGTTGAAGTGACTCAGGGGAAGGCTTGCATATTACTCCTGTCACGGGACTGCCACCAAAAACAGCATCCCTGATTAGCTTCTCTTCCATTTCCCTGTAATTCGATGCATATAACAAAACTTATATGCATGCCAATATAGTGACTCCCCTACTTACGTGCTTCCCCATTCCAGCCAACTTTAACCAATGACAAATAAACAAATAGTCCATATGGCAATATAACCAGGGAGAAGTGATCCTTTGCTTTACAGATGAGAAGATGCAAACTTGGCTCAAGGGAGCCACTTTCAGCAGTCGCCCCAGGTTCATCATAGCTTGTATGTATGTACCTTGGTACCATGTACCATTTCACTCCCCATGTCCGTATTTGCATTGGTTGTCTTTCTTTGCTTGAAAATACAGCATGGAATTAGGGAAGCATTTCACCAATCAACCTTTTTAAAGCTCCTAATTAATTTCTAGTATAAGATTAATAGCAGCGTTGGATTTATTATTTACTACAGCCGGTGGTTTTACATACATCATTTTTCCTCTGCAGAAGTTGGACAGCCACATAATTATCCATGCCATACTGCCTGAGCCTGATTTTGCTGGCTTGGAAAATACTCAATGAGTCAATTTTTAGAGCTGGTAAGTTTGTTTTCGAGGCTGTCTTTGGATTAAAAAGAAAAGCACCAGAGTGGGGTTTTAGCTGTTCAGGCTGTAGGGATAGAGGAAGGTGTTGCTAGATATGGATAGGCTAGGGGTGAAATAGGGGTGCTTTGCTAAGATTATGGGAACAGATGTATCTTAAATAGTCAGACTGATTTGCTGGGTGGACACAAGCCAGTTGGCTTATAGTGACTCCAGGTGGGATCCAGCCAAACTTAAGCACTTTTAATACTGTTAATCCCAGTCTAAGCAAACCCAGAGCATTTTGAATTCCCCTTGATTTCAACAGGGAGAGAGTTAAGTGAATGTTTTAGGTGCCTTAAGATGTGAAAGCCCACCTTTAGGAGAATCCCACCTCTAGCCACTTTCAATATGGCCTTCAAGCTTTTGGCAGGCTTTTAGGGGATAGGGGTAGCTTCTCTGATTATTAAATCTTGTTTTATGCTGCATAGAAAATATTGTATGCCTCTTTGAATGTTGGAAATGAGCCGGAACTGTTTTAAATAAAAACATTTGCTGGTACCCAGTAAATGTGAGATTCTGGTTGGCTCTTCCGTGACCTGCCTCAGTCCTCCTTAGCTGGCTACACCTACCATCTACCCCCGTTCTCTCTTGGCTCTGAATCTGGCCAGTAGATCCTGTCCTGCCCCCACCTCTGATCTGCCAGATTCCTTCAGATGCCTCCATTCTCTGCCAGGCTTTACGCTGGCTATGCCCCCCACCCTTCCTAAGTGGGGGCCAAGGGGGCAAGATTTTGGAAATCCAAATGTTAGCAACCTTCTCCCCCACAGAAATCAGCCATCTTAGCTCTGGCAGGATGCTTTCTATCAATTAAGTTTCTCCCACTGAAACCTGACAGTGCTTGGCATTGGTTCTGTATTGCACACTCTTACTGTAACCCCCACCTGAGAAATAAGTACAAATGTTTGGGGGGTTTTAATGACTTTTCTTATTGTTTGTGCCCACATCTGTTGGAGCTCCTTCATGTCCATGTGGAACTGTGTTGTGGAGAAAAATGTATTTTGTATTTCTCAGTGTTCTCTCTAGCAAAACCAGTTTTGTGTGTCTGTATAATTAATAACATGCCTTTTAAAATTTCATTAAAATAATAATGCATCACTATGCATTCATCAATTAATTTAATATATGGCTATACAGCTTTTTCACAACTTTCACCGAGGTGGTATATAATGACATAGATAAATATATGTGCTAAAATCACATTAAAACTTGAAAACAACATGAATGGTTGAAAAATGCAAACTGTTATTACTGCCTTCATGTCAAGAAGACCACTTTGAGCTCCAGTGTGAAAGGCTAGGGGTAGCTAGATCTTTGGTTTTATTGACTGACTTTACTGGGATTTACCTCCAAGCAAAGATTGTACCATTATGTTATTTACTTGCAAGTTTTTTATGCTGTATTTCAAAAAAAAAAATTACAAATCAATTTGCAGTGTAAAAGCATCACACAACAACTTGGAATCCTAAAACAAGAACCAAATTAAAATTAAAGGTTGTACTTTATCCAGAAAACTACTTGAAAGCTGTAGAAACAAAAGAATTCTGTTTTCATACATTTCCAAGAGGCAACCATTAAGAGACCAAGCACACGTCTTGCAAAGAGGGCATACCATCTCAGCAGAGGAACCATTCAGAAGGCCCTCCTCCCATTAGTCACCAGCAGCATCACTAAAAATGGAACTCTGAGGTTATATATAGAAGAAGATAATATTAATGGACAGCTTGTATTTAAATAAGGCAGGGTAGAGCAAGGAGAGAGAAACTGAAGGCATATTTCCTGGAGACAGCTAATCCAAAATGGTAATTTTGGTGGAAATAGATTAACCTCTTAGGAGCACCTCATGATCTAAAGCAGAAATCTTAGGAGAAGACCAAAGAACATCATGCATTCGATCCTTGATCTCTTGGAGTTGTCCAAACGATCTGTGTTTGACCTAGAGCTGGTATTGAGGGCAGGAGGTTTTACCAGATCTATCCTAGTCATCCCTCCCAATTAACAAAGTGCAGTAGAGAATTTATTTATTTAAATACTTTTATATGCAATCCCTTATGCATGGCATCCCAGGACGGCTTACAATCATTAAAACACACACACAATAAAACAACCATATCAATATAATAAATAACAAATAACCAGAAAATATAAATTAAATAAATAAAAAGTGACTGTTGACCATTAAAATATTCATTTTTAAAATAACAATTAAAAAGGAATACATTTCTGTCAGTGGCAGCCAGAAAATTTTACCCATGTCCCATCATCCCATCTGTGCCTCGTGAAGTGGCCTGGTTATTCATAGCTGTTCCCGGCTAACAGGTCAGATAGTCCCACCTCCAGCACATTTCCTGGCATTTTTATTCTAAAATATTCTAAACACCATTACAGATATTAAAAAATAAACAGCCCCTATGTAGGCTCACAGTCTGATACAACATAAAAGGAAAGGGGAATGTGATGGGAAGAGAAAAGCAAGCATTAGAACAGCTTTTCCTGCACTGGCCAATGGATGCGGGAATGCTGTTCTTCCTGGACTGTCTGGGAGCCATTTTCATGTCCCATATTCCCCCAATAGTGACAGCCCTGGGCATTGTGGAAAATTGGCCCAGTGGCTCCCAGCTGCTTTAAAAGGCAGCCAAGAGACAGATGGCTGTGGCAGATTTCACTGGAGTCCTGCCAGGTTCCTAAGAACTCCTTAGCTCTGTCTGGTGTGGCCCCTTGGCCTCCAGGGCATGTAAGTGTTTCATGGGAAAGGGTTTTTAACAGTAGCTGAGCAGCTGTGTAAATATCACAAGAGCAGTTTTTTTAAAGATATCAGAGCTCTTCATGTCTCTCCTCTCTTCCCCATCCATGCCAAACACCCTTGGAGATATGAAGACCCAAATTGGAGAATGAAAGAGCACAGAAGATAAAAAATTGTGGCTTACATTAACCACAACTGGGGCCATCTTTCAGCTTTCAGGAATGCTTCTTCTGTCACAAACACACCCCATGTTGACAATGCACCAGCAATATAAAATAAAACAAGAATGAATAAATACACCATAACATTACAATTAAAAGCTTTTACCACTTAATTCAGCAATGCTGTCAAAACTGGCTCCAAATTAATTCTGCAAAGGTTTTATGAGGCTTGTTAGTGCATGTTACCTCTACTTTTATATTCCGGTTTTAATGTAGGCAAAAGCTGTAGTGAACAGACCACAGATCACAACCCAACAACCCACTGGGACTCTTAATGGAGTCATGTTAACATGCTGTGAATTGTTAGTGCAGCAGGTTCAGACAACACAGGAACCCAGTTTCAACAACAACCCATGAGTTTGGCATGTTGTCTGAACCCAGACAACTCATTGCCCTTCTGAGCAGGGTGGGTGACCATCAGGTAGGAAGGTCCCATTCTAATAGCCCACCTACATGGTGCTGAACTTTCAAACCTGATGACTGACAGCTTTATGCATATTTCTTGGTGGATTTTTAGCACCCTTCTTAAATTGCATGCTTGAAAGCTGAAATGGGGCAAATGACATTGATGGCAGGTACCACATACACCTTAAAATGAGTTTTCTTTTTGACACCTTCAAGCAGTTTTTTCCATCAATGAGGAAACGGTAATATGATGGAAATGAAGGTATTTTGCAACAGTGGAAATTTTTCACGCAAATTCTCCTCAAATAAATTTCTTTTTACGTTTACATACTTCCTGACCTTGCAAAAAGTGGCTGACTCATTTTCCTTCATTAAATGACCTATTCAAATAAATGTAGTGTTTGGTAGAAAGACCAAGGAAGAAACAAGAATGAGAAAATAAAATGAAAGATACTCCATGGCCAAAAAGCTGTTGTGAATTGGAACTTTTCTTCATTGGAGTCCTGGCAAGCGATTGCGTTCATCTTTCTTTAATTAGGACATCCGTGCATCATTTTCTTTGGGATGGGTAGCACTTTTCAGAAATTCCATCCCAGGTTCATTGTGGTCTTTCAAATAAACTATGCAGTGTTGTTTTGACTTTTCCCCCTCTTAATTCATCACTTTAGCAAAGATCACATTTTCTTCAGCTTGGACTTTCCATTGTGGTTAAGTGTCCAAGTATGAATGGTGGTTAGATATTTGTAAATGGACAACTGGTTGTTTTCCAAAGTAATGGGGAAAACCTATTCCAGCTTAGCCATATTTCTTCCAGGAACAAGCAATCTTCATCTCTTATGTCTATTGTATTCTATGTTAAAACTGACTGCTGAATTTGGGCTCATGGAGGTGCTGGCATCACAGCAGAGGTCTATGCAGCTTGCCTGCAGGGTTCAAAACAGAAGCTACAGCAGGATCTCTCCTAGTCCAGGGATGGGGGATCTTTTCCATCAAAAGGGCCACATTTGGAGGTGGGGACGCCACTGCTCTCCTCCTTTGGCGTCCCACTCATGCACATAGCACTCACAGCTATGCTGGGCAGCACGTTTAACTCTCCCTTCACTGCTCTCTCGTACCCTTACAATACTGCTCAACTCAGGAAAGCCGCAGCTCAGAGATGCTCCCATAAAACTGACTTTGCTTAGCCCTCCCATGTCCCAGCTGGAGGTTTTGGAGGTTTCCCATCTTGGCCATAGGTGAAGGGAGGGGAAAACCTGGTGACTGGGTTATTTTCTATGAAGCAGAACAGTAAATGGGGCACTGTACCAGCAAATTTAGACCCTATAATTATAATGGGTTCACATTGACACATGGATTATGGCATGAATGCTGCCATGCTAACAAACCATGGTTTGTTAATCACAACCCATGAAGAGAGCCCGTGGTTTCTTGTTGTGAACTGGGTTGAGAATGCTAGATTGTTTATGATCAACAAACTATAATGGAATGTGCTTCCCACCGAGGCCTGCCTGGTCCCAACCTAAGTATCATTTCAGTGTCAGATTAAGACTGTCCTCTACCACAAGGCATTTAATTAGCTTACTGGGGCTTGTTTTGCTGCTTAAGCAGGTCTTAAGATTTACCTTGTTTAAGCTAATTTAATCTTTTGAATTTGGTGTTGTAAACTGCCCAGAGAACTTTGGCTATTGAGTGGTATAAAAATTAAATAAGTAGTTCTTCGTCGTGGCCTCTGTGCATCACACATATGGGTGCTGTGCCTGCACAGTGCCTTTGGCTGGAGATTACAAGCTAATGGTTTTTTGGCGGGAAAGCTCCGCTCCCCCTCCCCGATAGCCTATAAAGAGCAGAGCGTCCGCCATTTTGTTCAGTCTTTGTGACCACCGTTCGCTGTGTCTCGTGCCGCTTTCGACTATCGCTCTGATCGTTACTCGTATAGTACTCTTCTCTATTATTCTCCCAGTTATTATATCCCTGTTAGTTCTCATTGTCTCTATAGTTCTTGTTAGTTCTGTAGTTCTATCGTTCTACCTTTCTTTTGATCTTCTATAAAAAAAAAAAAAAACCAAAAATATATTCTTACCCTCTGCACTGTCTTCTTTTTTCCCATTTCTTGCGATGGCGCAGCGAGCGGCTTTCTGCAAATGCGCGGAATGCAGGTCGAAGATGTCTCCATCTGACCCGCATGACCTATGCCTCCTCTGCCTGGGGGAGGAGCATAGGACCGACAAGTGCTCTCACTGCCTGGCCTTCTCTAAGCAGGCCAGGAAAAATCGTGAGAACCGCCTCCGGAGGCTCCTGTGGGATCGGGCTCTCATGCAGTCTGACCTACTTGTTGTCGCTCCAAAGCCTGGCCCTACCATAGTGGTCCCGCCCTCACACCCTTCGGACGAAGGCGCGTCTACCATGAGGGCTCCACCCACTTCTCCGAAAAAGAAGCGTGAGAAGCGCAAACATGCTGATACCGAGAAATCAGCAAAGAAGGCCAGGAAAGAGAAGCCTCCGAAACCGACCCAGAAGTCGAAGGACCCGGAGCGCCCACGGCACCGTGACTCAGGTTCGACGGCTGCCTTGGTACCGGTGGCAGCTACTGTACTGACCCCACCCAAGCCAGTACTCCAGGCAGCTATGAGGGTTACCCCCCAAGGGTCCCCTCAACGTATGGCCGACCTTCCCACCGAGCCGCTGCCAACTCTTCAGCGGGGGTCAATTTCTGATGGGGAAATTCAAGA